ATTGACCCTGACACAAGGCTGAAAAAAACAAACTGACACCTGGGGCGCAAGGAGCCCGCCAAGCTGAAGCGTCACCTCTGCAAAGGACCTCGCGGTAGCGTCCTGAGCCCCACATGTGAAATGCAAAAGGATTTTGTTGGCAGAATGATGTAGAAATAATGCTGGATGGCAATCAGAAAGCAGATACCATCCTCCCCGCCTGTAAGAAGTCATTCAAATGCAAATAAGCTACTGGACTCATCTCCGCATTGTGCAAGGCCTAGGTCCTGTCCAAGGCAGTATTACCCAAAAAAGCTGGCACGCTCTAACTCCTCGTCCCAAGTCTGTTACTGCTTAGTGAGCGAGAGTCAGTGGCCTAAATCTGACATCGGGTCATTGATCCGTGATAAAATCGCAGTAGAAAACATGCAAGTTTTACTCCTGTGATCACCGATTTTATATATATTTTTTAAAAAAAGCTATTTTAATTCCAGCCAAAATTAATTTTGTAACATTTGGAAATGGGTTTCTTCAAACAACAACGAAATGCCACATTTTAGAGGACTAATCCACTAACCAGCTATGTTTCTCAGAAAACTGTAGATCAAAGATATTTGTTTCATATACAAATATATACAGCATATATTTAAGGGACTGAATTTTCACAAAATCTTTCAGAAGGCTGAAATACATAACTCTAGAGCTGGGGTTTTTTTAATGTTAATACAGCATTCTTTCAGTGTTCCACATAAAAATAAGCAGCATGCATGCCGCAGACTCAAGACACAGCCCATGCTTTTTTCCCAAACCCGATGGTTTTGTAAAATCCTGTTACTATTCCACAGAGCTATCTAACAAAATAAAAAGCAATAATGAAACAGTCTTTAAAAAATCTAAATAAAAAGCCTTTTCTCCAGTGATACGGGGAGAAATACAGTCAAACCATAGTATCTTAAAATAGATTTGTCTGCTCTCAGTACTGATAGGTTAGATTACACATGCCTATTTTAGATTTCAAAGATAAGAGTTTATTTTATAATGGTAGCATTATGTTTTTAAAATCACATTTGAAACACTTTATAAATTCTCTGAAGTTGGTGCTTGTCAGATTTTTTAACAATTTTGAAATGAGATTTTAACAGATAACAGATTAAGAAAGCTGCAGTCAGAAAAACCTGCATGATAAGAATATACCTTTTATTTTTTTACTTTTATTGCTTACGTAGTGTCAAAACCTGCTTGCAAATACATCTGTTACCTGTTTCTAGAAATAGACACCGTCTTCACACTTTGAAAGTGAAGGTACGGCATGCAAAAAAAACCCCAACAAACATTTGAATGGGATAGAACACAGTAGAAATAAGCAATTTCATAAGTCAGTTTAATATCAGCTCACAGATAAGGAAGACTCATCGATAACCTAGAGACTCTTCTCCAGTCTTGATCAAAAAAAGAAATCTTACAGAGACATAGGTAAGAAATCGGCATTTGCTATCCCGAAACTATCTGCAAACCTCCCTATACTGATCCATAAAAATAATATCCAGTTTGCGAAAGAATGAAGGACTGGGTAAGGATTTTTTTGCTTTTTAAGGTTTTTTTTGCATTCATTTATCAAATATAAAATAAAATGTGATGACTTTCATTGCTATTACAAAAACAATTTCTGGTATCCACAGATCAACACGAAGCACACAAATGCCCCAGTTACTTTACACTGAGATTTTGAGAATGACTGTATTGATTAAATCCGTGGTACGGTCAAGTGATCTTAGTTATTTTGATCAGAAAGCATCTCGCTCTCAGGAGAAACGTTTTTAATAAATACGGAGAGCAACACTCCCAGTGGAAACTGCGTTACAGTTCAAAAATGTGAAGGTAGCATATTGTAACTAAACCCAGGTATTTTCTTAATTGGTTTACAAAATAATACCTAAATAATAATGTGGCTTATTTCTCAAATTAAACAAACCCAGGTCTCATTATAACACCCATACCTAGTTCTTACAGAGATTTTTATCAATAGCTAGCAGTTAAACACATTAATATACCTGTCATTTTCTGCTGTCTTCACAAATACTTTGACATCACATATCTGACATCTAAAAGTAATAACGATCTAAAAAATAGGTGTTTCAAGATTTCTTATTACAAAGGCAAAACTGCTGACAATGACTTTTTCTTAGCAAATAGCAGCGCAGACTTAAATGGTGTAATCAATTACAGAAACCTTGGAAATTATAAACTAATTATGACCTACCAGATAGGGGGTAAAAGCAAACAACGATCGCTTTCAGTTACAGTGTTTAAAAGAACTGCTTACAGTTCTCTCTCAGTGGTACTCCTGCTGCCTCTCCTGCCTAACAAAGCCTCACATCTATTCAGAATCCACCAGTTTATCATTTTTAGAGATTTTTTAATTTGTTTTGTCAGTGCTCAGTAAGGAAACCAAATGGTATTTCTGCCGCCAGAGACCCAAATTCATTTCTCATAAAAATACAAAGCACGAATACCACGGAAATAATTCCAGTCTGATCCTTACACGAGAGCTGATTTTGACCTCTCAGAATGGAAATCATTTGTGAAATCAGGGGTGGCCTTGCATGCAGAAGAAAAGCAGGATCAAGCTTGAAATTATTTTTTTTCTGATGTTTTTATGTATTTACATGTAAACACAATGAAAATATATCAGCAGTTTTCTACATACAGCTTTATTATTGATGGGAATGGGATCAAGAGGTCCATACTAATTTTTTGGAAAGAAATTACGGTCTCATGGAGTTAAATGGCAAAACATCAGTTGATTTCAAGCAGAGCCGGATTTCAGCCCCAGTATTTGGGGGGAAAGGGTTATTTTTTTTTTTCTTCTTCTTCTTCTTAAAATGCTGGGCTTTATGCTCTGTGTTTAAGCCTGCATTAATGAGAACACCTGAAGGATATGTCCCTCCCTTCCCAAAATAAATTCTGAGGAGACTCCTCCTGTATATCCTCCAGCTGTATGTGCTCTAATTAAAAAGGCTGCGCTGCTTCCTGCTCAGAGCACTTCAAAAGGCCTCGCTGCTCCCCTTGACAATGCAGCGCCCAGTGCTGGTTCCTCTTACCTGTCCATGCTTATTTATGGCAAGCACCACTCACTGGAAGCCATAAACTGTGCCCGTATTTTACTCTGTCTGAAATGTATAGCATGTTTACATGAAAGGCGTATTAATGATCAAACTGATCTTAACAACAGCAAAAAAAAATAATTGTAAAAAATAGCATGTATGGGGGGAAACACTGCCGCTTGCTCTTCCGTCTTCTCTTTTTTGGAAATAAAAAGAAACTGTCACGTAATACAGGACTTTTTTTTACCGTCTGTTTGTTCTTAATTTTACATGGCATAATGTAAAAATACGCAAGACTTTAGTTGTGGAAAAATATTTTGATTGTTGTGCTGATTTTGATTGTTGTAGGCTTGGCCACCTAAGACTGACCTCAAGCGACGTGACAGGTTTTCTCAAAACCATTTCTGAGGGAAACTCAAACCCAGAAAAAATAGTATCAATGTAACTCTGCAGCATTTTTAAAAAAAATGAAATAATAGGAGGAAAAAGGTGTGTACGGCACATTTAGGAAATGTCTTTTTAAAAAATACAGTATTTTTCACTCTCAATCTTCGCAAAAAGCTTTCTGGTTAATCTTTTCTCGTCTGTGAAATTTAAAGGTGCAACACTTCCTCCCCAATGGTCCGCACTATTTAGTTCATAGCGATGGCAAGAAAACTTGTTTTTATTTTTCATCTGCACTTGTGCCTTTAAGTTTCACAGCAAATTTTAAAGAGAAAAAAGGTGAGGGTGTGAAATGACAAACAGCATGCGGGAGAGATGCCCTGCGCTTAAAAAGCTCAAGCCGAGTCGCTAGCGACGCGGAAGGGCGGGAGGCGAGGGAAGATGCAGGGGCAGGCCGGGTTTCTGTCACGCCGGAGGCGCTGGTACCGGGGCTTGCAGGCCGAAACCTCCAGGGGACTGGGAGCGGAGGGGAAGCACGAAGGGAAACGCCGCCTCCCACCCGAGGGCGAAG